CTTCGTAAAATGTCTAATTAAAATACCTACGTAAATTACCTACGTATAATACCTATGTAAAATATATCCTTAAAATACCAAATTATAGTAAATATATAAAATACCTACGTAAAATACATACGTAAATTACATCTGTAAAATACCTACGTATAAACCTACGTTAAATATTTGCGTAAATTACTTACGTAAAACGTAATTCGTACGCGTTCTACGTATTTACGTAGATTCATGTATCTTTTTGTAGTTGTAAATTGTAATGATAAATACCTTTAAATGTATGTAAGCTTTATGATCTAATTTATTTAAAAAACAATAGAATACAGAGACCAAAATTCCACATAAAACAGTTGCTAGAAAAAACCCTATTTTAATGATTAACAGCATAATGTTATTAATGATAGGACCAAGTACAGGTTCTTTGCTGACAAAGATTCATGTAGAGTGAATGTAAAGAAATACTACGGGTTTTCTTAGTGGGTGTAACCAAGTATAGTAATAAGACTTGATCCAAACAAGTAAATAGGTGAGATTTTATTTTATTCATGGATGTATATGATCCAAGAATACAACGATAAGTTAACGTTTAAGATAAGCATCAAATGTGTTATGTACTAAAACATATTTGGAAGACGTTTATTCATGTAATCAAACATGTTTCAATAACTTAAATTGCCATAATGTTTGATTAACCTAACAAAGGTCAGCCTAAACGGACAGCTTGTGTAGTAGTTTCCTTTCTAATGGAAATAAATACCTACATAAAATACCTAATTAAAATACCTACGTAAAATATCTACGTAAATTACCTACGTAAAATATCTACGTAAATACCTAAGTAAAATACCTAATTAAAATACCTTCGTAAAATACCTACGTAAATTACCAATGTAAATTACCTACGTAAATTACCTACGTAAAATACCTACGTAAATTACCTACGTAAAATACCAATGTAAATTACCTACGTAAATTACCTACGTAAAATACCTTCATAAAATATCTAATTAAAATACCTACGTAATAAGTACGTAAATTACCTACGTATAATACCGACGTAAAATATCTCCTTGAAATACCAAATTATAGTACATATATAAAATACCTACGTAAAATACATACGTAAATTACATCTGTAAAATACCTACGTATAAACCTACGTTAAATATCTGCGTGAATTACTTACGTAAAACGTAATTCGTACGCGTTCTAACGTATTTACGTAGATTCACGTATCTATTTGTTGTTGTAAATTGGAATGATAAATACCTTTAAATGTATGTAAGCTTTAATGGTCTAATGGATTTTAAAAACAATAGAATCCAGAGACAACAATTCCACTTAAAACAGTTGCTAGATAAAAAAACCCCCTATTTTAATAAACAACAGCATTTTATTTATTAATGACAGGACCAAGTACAGGTTCTTTGCTGATAAAGATTCACGTAGAGTGAATGTAAAGAATAACTACGAGTTTTCTTAGTGGGTGTAACCAAGTATAGTAATAAGACTTGAACCAAACCAGTAAATAGGTGAGATTTTATTTTATTCATGGATGTATATGATCCAAGAATACAACGATAAGTTAACGTTTAAGATTAGCATCAAATGTGTTATGTACTAAAACATATTTGGAAGACGTTAATTCATGTAATCAAACATGTTTCAATAACTTAAACTGCCATAATGTTTGATTAACTTAACAAAGGTCAGCCTAAACGGACAGCTTGTGTAGTAGTTTCCTTTCTAAAGGAAATAAATACCTACAAAAAACCTAAAAACACCACAACACCAAAATACAACAATACCTAAGTACAAAAATACCTAATTGAAATACTTATGTAAAATATCTACGTAAATTACCTACGTTAAATACCTACATAAATTACCTACTTAAAATACCTTCATAAAATATCTAATTAAAATACCTACGTAGAAACCTACGTAAATTACTTACGTAAAACGTAATTCGTACGCGTTCTACGTATTTACGTAGATTTACGTATCTATTTGTAGTTGTAAATTGGAATGATAAATACCTTTAAATGTATGTAAGCTTTATGGTGCAATGGATTTAAAAAACAATAGAATCCAGAGACAACAATTCCACTTAAAACAGTTGCTAGATAAAAAACCCTATTTTAATGAACAACAACATTTTATTTATAAATGATAGGACCAAGTACAGGTTCTTTGCTGATAAAGATTCAGGTAGAATAAATGAATGGAAAGGAGCGAGTTTTCTTAGTGGGTGTAACCAAGTATAGTAATAAGACTTGAACCAAACAAGTAAATAGGTGAGATTTTATTTTATTCATGGATGTATATGATCCAAGAATACAACGATAAGTTAACGTTTAAGATTAGCATTAAATGTGTTATGTACTAAAACATATTTGGAAGACGTTATTTCATTTAATCAAACATGTTTCAATAACTTAAATTGCCATAATGTTTGATTAACTTAACAAAGGTCAGCCTAAACGGACAGCTTGTGTAGTAGTTTCCTTTCTAATGGAAATAAATACCTACATAAAATACCTAATTAAAATACCTACGTAAAATATCTACGTAAATTACCTACGTAAAATACCTACCTCTAGGTTTTTTAAATAGAGCTCCTATCATTTAAATAGAGCTCTGTAATTTAATTACGTAATTAAATTGTATTCTAATACAAACGTAAATTACCTACGTAAAGTACCAAAATAAAAAAACTTACATAAATTACCTACGTAAAGTACCAACGTAAAAATCCTACGTAAATTACCTTCGTTAAATACCAACGTAAATTACCTACGTAAAATACCTACGTAAAATACCAACGTAAATTAGGAACGTAAAATACCTACGTAAAATACCAACGTAAATTACCTACATAAAATACCTACGTAAAATACTTTCATAAAATAACTCATTAAAATGACTACGTGATAGTACGATTCAAAAACCACACATCTGCATGAAGAAACAACAAACCGGAAAGATCAAATGTCGCACAGCACTTGTTATAAAATGGCCACTCATTAGGAAAAATTGAAGACAATGTATGTATTTTAAAGAATTGTAAGAAAGGAAATGTGATGAATGCTTAGGAAGAATTGTCTATTTGTAAGGAAAAATTTAAAAATAGAAATAAGCTCATTAATGAACAAGTAAATTTTGACTCTAGTTGTACTTATAGAAACTTATTGGCCGATACTTCCGGTAGCCAATAGCATATAAGGGAACGCCATTTTGATTCTTGTCATTCGCCTATTGGGTCTGATGATGATTGGAGTGTCCAATCGAAATCGATCACCACTTACCAACTTTTACATGTATTTACCGTCTTGTAAGTCAACAGTATAAGTGTAAAAAACAATAGAATCCAGAGACAAAAATTCCACTTAAAACAGTTACTAGAAAAAACCCTATTTTAATGATTAACAGCATAATTTTAATAATGATAGGACCAAGTACAGGTTCTTTGCTGATAAAGATTAATGTAGAGTGAATGTAAAGAAATACTACGGGTTTTCTTAGTGGGTGTAACCAAGTATAGTAATAAGACTTGAACCAAACAAGTAAATAGATGAGATTTTATTTTATTCATTGATGTATATGATCCAAGAATACAACGATAAGTTAACGTTTAAGATTAGCATCAAATGTGTTATGTACTAAAACATATTTGGAAGACGTTATTTCATGTAATCAAACATGTTTCAATAACTTAAATTGCCATAATGTTTGATTAACCTAACAAAGGTCAGCCTAAACGGACAGCTTGTGTAGTAGTTTCCTTTCTAATGGAAATAAATACCTACATAAAATACCTAATTAAAATACCTACGTAAAATATCTACGTAAATACCTAAGTAAAATACCTAATTAAAATACCTTCTTAAAATACCTACGTAAATTACCTACGTAAAATACCTACGTAAAATACCAACGTAAAATACCATCGTAAATTACCACTGTAAATTACCTACGTAAATTACCTAAGTAAAATACCAACGTAAATTACCTACGTAAAATACCTAAGTAAATTACCTACGCAAAATACCTACGTAAATTACCTACGTAAAATACCAATGTAAATTACCTACGTAAAATACCTACGCAAAGAACCTTCATAAAATATCTAATTAAAATACCTACGTAATAAGTACGTAAATTACCTACGTATAATACCTTCGTAAAATATCTCCTTGAAATACCAAATTATAGTACATATATTAAATACCTACGTAAAATACATAAGTAAATTACATCTGTAAAATACCTACGTATAAACCTTCGTTAAATATTTGCGTAAATTACGTACGTAAAACGTAATTCGTACGCGTTCTACGTATTTACGTAGATTCACGTATCTATTTGTTGTTGTAAATTGGAACGATAAATACCTTTAAATGTATGTAAGCTTAATGGTCAAATGGATTTAAAAAACAATAGAATCCAGAGACAACAATTCCACTTAAAACAGTTGCTAGATAATAAAAACCCCCTTTTTTAATGAACAACAACATTATATTTATTATTTATTTATTTTGCTGAAGGCTGTGGTAATGGCGAAAGGCGAAGTTGAGAGCAAGTGCCCGGTGTGTTCTAAATTGTGTTTAGATAGCGAAAAAACCCTTCTCTGCGATGGTTATTGCGTTTCGTGGCACCACGCTAGATGTGTGAATATATCTGCGAAAATATTTAACGATATCAGGAAGATTGAAGAGCATGTTAAGTGGTTTTGCAGTCCCTGCACCAAAAGGATCAAGGACCACATTGTGCATGACGAACCTCCGCTGACAAACTTGATTGGTGAACTTAACGACATGAAAAGTAAGGTAGCAGCTTTCCATAAAATAGGACTAAACCTTGAGAAGAAAATTAATATTCTTATAACGAACAGCATTAAGACTAAGGTTGGACTAAATCAAATAATGGATTTACACAAAGTTGAGGTTAGTTCTATGCAGGAAACAGACATTTTAGATTCAAGTCAGAGAAAAGAAGTTACGATGACGTCACCAGCAGACATCGACAACATAACAGCTACAAATTTGCCATTGGTGGATGCAAACGAAGATGAAATTCAAGTACCAGTGAATCTACAAATTGACTCTGGACGTGAACTGAAGGAAAAAAGGAACCGAAACGGACTCATGTTGTCGGAACGGAGTGAAGCTGAAGCTGTAGTTGAAACCGATGTTGGACAGATAAAAAGTGGAAATGGAAACGAACCTTCACCAGGAATTGAAACTGAAACTGCAAGTCATCGTCATGAAATCGAGATGTACGAAAACAGTGGAATGAGGAATATCAATGGTAATAAATCAGTATCGACCAATTCTCGAGTCTCCTATTCCAATGTGGTGAAAAATCATTTTAAATCAAGACCAACTGATTCAGAAAGAACTAGGCCTACGCAGAACCTCAACCACGGGAACAAGCAGAAGTTAAACTCTGTAATAATAGGGACGAGCGGCGCTGCTGATAACCTCAAGTCTGTGCGTCAGAAATCATTTTTCTTTGTTTCAAGAGTTTCACCAGATGTGTCATGTGACTCAGTATTGAACTTCTTGGCTTCTAAAGGTGTTTCAGACAGTGAATGCATCCAATTAAAAACTCGCCACAACTCCTATTGCTCGTTCAAAGTGGGAGTTCCTTTAGATGTAGCTGGTGAGATATTGGACCCTAGCTTTTGGCCTAGGGGAGTGTTGGTGAGAGCATTTCTGCCATCGAGTCGGGAGCCTAGGGGGGAACGAGTAACTAGGAATTTTCCTTTTTTAGGACGAACATTTCACCGAACTGTGACAACATAAGTCTAAGCCAGAGAGGTTTAGGCTTAGGCATTAAGCAACCTAATGAAAATTCTAGTGTAAGCCTAGGTCCACACACAGACAATATTGACTCTAACCTACACAAACATTCTGTGACCATTGCAAATCTGAATGTCCAGTGTCTTAGGACTAAGTCTGCCCTAGTTTCCTTATTTGTCAATGAAGTGGATTGCGATTTCTTGTGCATAACTGAACATTGGTTAGATAGAGTTGAATGTGACTTCTACAATTGCCTTGATAAACTTCAATTAGCAAGTGCCTACTGCCGTACAGAACACAAAAATGGGGGAGTGGCAATTTTTGCGACTGCTGCTTTCACTTATAAGAATATCGATCTGACCAGATTTTGTGTTGAGCTAGTTCTCGAACTGACGGCTATTGAGATTGTGGATATCTCCACCATCCTAATATGTGTATATAGGTCTCCTGACGGAGCTTTTGAATCTTTTGTCTACCAGCTCGAACTCTGCCTCGACTATCTTAGCAGACTCTGTCCGAGGAAACTTGTTATCTGTGGGGATTTTAATGTTCACCTAGAGCGCCAATCTAGGGAGGAAGCTACTTTTGTCAACTTATTGCGAAGCTACGGCCTCTATGTAACTTCGAGACTTCCAACCCGTGGACTGGCTTGTTTGGATGCAACAGCCACTAACATAGACTCCTGGGACTACGAGGTAAAGGTGGTGAGTTCTGTGGTTGCCGACCATGATGGAGCAGTCCTCTTGAAGATCAAGGCTGATGAGGTAAGGTCAAATACTTCCTATGCAGATAAGAACGTAGCCACTAAGAGATTTATTGATAAGGATAACCTGCCTTTGCTCATAGACGAATTAAATATCGTGGACTGGAACTGTTTAGGCCTACAACTCACTACAGAGCCTGATACTGCATTCAGGTTATTTCTCGACTTGATCCAGGATAAGTTTGATGTAGTGTATCCGGTGAAAATCTATAAACTTGGTAGTAAAAAGACTAAATGTACAGCCATTGACAAATCCTGGTACTCCTCTGACCTTAGGAAATTGCGTTCCTTAGTGATCTTAGTGCACGATCATTACAAACTTGCTGTTGACCTAAATCAAAAAGTTAAATTCTTTGCTCTATATTCTAAACTAAAGAAAGACTACAGTGCTAAAGTTAAGGAAGCAAAGAAAGTCAGCAATGTAAACAAAATATTGAAGGCGTCCAATACTTGTAAGGCTGCGTGGGATGTCGTAAATGAGCACAGGAGGTCCAGCCCTAGCCCTAAGATAACTGCGTCCCCTGATGTTTTTAATGACTATTTTGTCAGGATAGCTGATGATATCATCAACAACCTCTCCTTGTTACAGCATGAAGATCCGGTTGCTGCAGTCACTGATTATGCCACTAATCACACACTAACAAGTTGGACTGAGGTGAGTGAACGTTACATTATAAGTTTAGTGAAGGGCTTCAAAAACTCTGACAGCCAAGATGTAAATGGTATCTCCTGTTCTATACTTAAAGGTATTATACATCTGATATGTACACCGCTAACTAAGCTAGTTAACTTGTGCTTACTAAAAGGGTCCTTTCCAGATGTCCTAAAAGTTGCTAGGACCATTCCAATCTTTAAAAAGGGAGATCCCTCAGATCCGTCTAACTACCGCCCCATATCTATCTTGCCGGTGTTCTCTAAGGTACTTGAGACTGTGATGAAGAGGCAGCTAGTTAAATATTTTGAAGATAACAACTTGCTTTCGGATGCCCAGCACGGATTCCGAAGTGGGCGCTCAACTACTACAGCCCTAATGAATCTGACTGACCTCATCTCAGATGCCTTTGAGTGCAATGACTCAGTCATGCTGAGGTTATGCGATCTGAGTAAGGCATTCGATGTTGTTTCCCACAACATCCTTTTAGGGAAACTGAAAAAATATGGTATTGGTGGTACAGTGTTGTGCTCTTTGCAGAAGTATTTAGAAAATCGTAGGCAATTTGTATCAGTGAACGGAGTGTCCTCAAATGTCCAGGTTGTTCCCCATGGCGTTCCTCAAGGTTCGGTGTTAGGCCCTCTACTGTTTAGCATCATGATTAACGACCTTTGGCTAAACGGCTGCACCCTCCTCTTTGCAGACGACACCACTCTGGTGACTAGAGGGAAAGACATTAACCTGTTGAGGGATACAGCGGACGAGTTGTTTGTTGAGGCTAAGTCCTGGTTTGTTGCTAATCGCTTCAAAATAAATTATGAGAAGACTCAATCTCTGATGTGCACCCTCAAGTCGAGGACTGATCATGAGGAAGCTGTGAAGTTCCTTGGGTTTTGGCTGGACTCTAGGCTAAACTGGTCTAACCACATTGATAAGGTATGCGTTAGGTTATCCAGAGTTCTCTATCTGCTAAGGAAACTCCGAGATGAAATCACTAAGACCTATCTGGTAACCATATACCATGCCTTATTTCATAGCCATTTGATGTACGGAATAGTGCTCTGGGGACACTCCCCTGCATGCCATGAGATACTTCTGCTACAAAAAAAAGCTGTGAGGGTGATAACATCTAAAGGCCCAAGAGAACATTGCCGACCCATCTTCAAAGAATTGGGAATCCTCACAGTGGTGAGCCAGTACGTACTTAATATTCTGGTCTTGCTAAAGGAAAACCTAAGTGATTTTGTGACCCGAGGTGATAGGCATGAGTATGGAATAAGAAGGGCCCATGACCTGGATATGCCTCGCTGCCGCTTGAGCCATACCTTAAGGCGATACCCCCGATCGGCTATCAAAATCTACAACTCCCTTCCAAACCACCTAAGGAACCTTGACGGTACAGCGTTTAAGTCCGAGCTGAAGAACTTGCTCACAAATAGGCCCCTGTATAGTCTTGACGAGTTGTAAAATGATCCTTTGATGCCAGGTTGAGAAATAGACACGCTTACCACAGCCTAAGTTTCAAGTTTTAAGTTTTTAAGTTTATGATACTTTGTAAAACAAGTTTTGTATATAGTAATTTTGTAAATATTAGTATAACGACGCAATCTATCCGATATACTTCGGTCAAAGATTAAGACAACAAGTATTCAAGTATTCAAGTATTAAGTATTAATAATAGGACCAAGTACAGGTTCTTTGCTGATAAAGATTAACGTAGAGTGAATGTAAAGAATAACTACGAGTTTTCTTAGTGGGTGTAACCAAGTATAGTAATGAGACTTGAACCAAACCAGTAAATAGGTGAGATTTTATTTTCATGGATGTATATGATCCATAAATACAACGATATAGTTAAAATTTAAAATAGCATCAGATGTGTTATGTACTAAAACATATTTGGAAGACGTTTATTCATGTAATCAAACATGTTTCAATAACTTAAATTGCCATAATGTTTGATTAACTTAACAAAGGTCAGCCTAAACGGACAGATTGTGTAGTAGTTTCCTTTCTAATGGAAATAAAAACCTATATAAAATACCTAATTAAAATACCTACGTAAAACATCTACGTAAATTACCTACGTAAAATATCTACGTAAATACCTAAGTAAAATACCTAATTAACATACCTTCGTAAAATACCTAGTAATTTACCTACGTAAAATACCAACGTAAAATACCAACGTAAATTACCAATGTAAATTACCTACGTAAATTTCCAACGTAAATTAACTACGTAAATTACCTAAGTAAAATACCAACGTAAATTACCTACGTAAATTACCTAAGTAAAATACCATCGTAAATTACCTACGTAAAATACCTACGTAAATTACCTACGTAAAATACCTACGTAAATTACCTACGTAAATTACCTAAGTAAATTACTTACGCAAATTACCTACGCAAAATACCTACGTAAAATACCTACGTAAATTACCTACGTAAAATACCAATGTAAATTACCTACGTAAAATACCTACGCAAAATACCTTCATAAAATATCTAATTAAAATACCTACGTAATAAGTACGTAAATTACCTACGTATAATACCTTCGTAAAATATCTCCTTGAAATACCAAATTATAGTACATATATAAAATACCTACGTAAAATACATACGTAAATTACATCTGTAAAATACCTACGTATAAACCTACGTTAAATATTTGCGTAAATTACATACGTAAAACGTAATTCGTACGCGTTCTACGTATTTACGTAGATTCGCGTATCTATTTGTTGTTGTAAATTGGAATGATAAATACCTTTAAATGTATGTAAGCTTAATGGTCTAATGGATTTAAAAAACAATAGAATCCAGAGACAACAATTCCACTTAAAACAGTTGCTAGATAAAAAAAAACCCCCTATTTTAATGAACAACAACATTTTATTTATTAATGATAGGACCAAGTACAGGTTCTTTGCTGATAAAGATTAACGTAGAGTGAATGTAAAGAATAACTACGAGTTTTCTTAGTGGGTGTAACCAAGTATAGTAATAAGACTTGAACCAAACCAGTAAATAGGTGAGATTTTATTTTCATGGATGTATATGATCCATAAATACAACGATATAGTTAAAATTTAAAATAGCATCAGATGTGTTATGTACTAAAACATATTTGGAAGACGTTTATTCATGTAATCAAACATGTTTCAATAACTTAAATTGCCATAATGTTTGATTAAATTAACAAAGGTCAGCCTAAACGGACAGATTGTGTAGTAGTTTCCTTTCTAATGGAAATAAAAACCTATATAAAATACCTAATTAAAATACCTACGTAAAACATCTACGTAAATTACCTACGTAAAATATCTACGTAAATACCTAAGTAAAATACCTAATTAACATACCTTCGTAAAATACCTAGTAATTTACCTACGTAAAATACCAACGTAAAATACCAACGTAAATTACCAATGTAAATTACCTACGTAAATTTCCAACGTAAATTAACTACGTAAATTACCTAAGTAAAATACCAACGTAAATTACCTACGTAAATTACCTAAGTAAAATACCATCGTAAATTACCTACGTAAAATACCTACGTAAATTACCTACGTAAATTACCTAAGTAAATTACTTACGCAAATTACCTACGCAAAATACCTACGTAAAATACCTACGTAAATTACCTACGTAAAATACCAATGTAAATTACCTACGTAAAATACCTACGCAAAATACCTTCATAAAATATCTAATTAAAATACCTACGTAATAAGTACGTAAATTACCTACGTATAATACCTTCGTAAAATATCTCCTTGAAATACCAAATTATAGTACATATATAAAATACCTACGTAAAATACATACGTAAATTACATCTGTAAAATACCTACGTATAAACCTACGTTAAATATTTGCGTAAATTACTTACGTAAAACGTAATTCGTACGCGTTCTACGTATTTACGTAGATTCGCGTATCTATTTGTTGTTGTAAATTGGAATGATAAATACCTTTAAATGTATGTAAGCTTAATGGTCTAATGGATTTAAAAAACAATAGAATCCAGAGACAACAATTCCACTTAAAACAGTTGCTAGATAAAAAAAACCCCTATTTTAATGAACAACAACATTTTATTTATTAATGATAGGACCAAGTACAGGTTCTTTGCTGATAAAGATTCACGTAGAATAAATGAATGGAAAGGAGCTAGTTTACTTAGTGGGTGTAACCAAGTATAGTAATAAGACTTGAACCAAACAAGTAAATAGGTGAGATTTTATTTTATTCATGGATTTATTTATTTATTTATTTATTTATACATGCCAACGGCTAAGCCAATACATAGATGTAAACAAAAACTGAACAATATTCAATACTCAATACTCAATACTCAATGGATGTATATGATCCAAGAATACAAAGATAAGTTAGCGTTTAAGATTAGCATTAAATGTGTTATGTACTAAAACATATTTGGAAGACGTTATTTCATGTAATCAAACATGTTTCAATAACTTAAATTGCCATAATGTTTGATTAACTTAACAAAGGTCAGCCTAAACGGACAGCTTGTGTAGTAGTTTCCTTTCTTAAGGAAATAAATACCTACAAAAAACCTAAAAACACCACAACACCAAAATACAACAATACCTAAGTACAAAAATACCTAATTAAAATACTTATGTAAAATATCTACGTAAATTACCTACGTAAAATACCTACATAAATTACCTACTTAATATACCTTCATAAAATATCTAATTAAAATACCTACGTAGAAACCTACGTAAATTACTTACGTAAAACGTAATTCGTACGCGTTCTACGTATTTACGTAGATTTACGTATTTATTTGTAGTTGTAAATTGGAATGATAAATACCTTTAAATGTATGTAAGCTTTATGGTGCAATGGATTTAAAAAACAATAGAATCCAGAGACAACAATTCCACTTAAAACAGTTGCTAGATAAAAAAACCCTATTTTAATGAACAACAACATTTTATTTATTAATGATAGGACCAAGTACAGGTTCTTTGCTGATAAAGATTCAGGTAGAATAAATGAATGGAAAGGAGCGAGTTTTCTTAGTGGGTGTAACCAAGTATAGTAATAAGACTTGAACCAAACATGTAAATAGGTGAGATTTTATTTTATTCATGGATGTATATGATCCAAGAATACAACGATAAGTTAACGTTTAAGATTAGCATTAAATGTGTTATGTACTAAAACATATTTGGAAGACGTTATTTCATGTAATCAAACATGTTTCAATAACTTAAATTGCCATAATGTTTGATTAACTTAACAAAGGTCAGCCTAAACGGACAGCTTGTGTAATAGTTTCCTTTCTAATGGAAATAAATACCTACATAAAATACCTAATTAAAATACCTACGTAAAATATCTACGTAAATTACCTACGTTAAATACCTACCTCTAGGTTTTTTAAATAGAGCTCCTATCATTTAAATAGAGCTCTGTAATTTAATTACGTAATTAAATTGTATTCTAATACAAACGTAAATTACCTACGTAAAGTACCAAAATAAAAAAACTTACATAAATTACCTACGTAAAGTACCAACGTAAAAATGTATGTATTTTAAAGAATTGTAAGAAAGGAAATGTGATGAATGCTTAGGAAGAATTGTCTATTTGTAAGGAAAAATTTAAAAATAGAAATAAGCTCATTAATGAACAAGTAAATTTTGACTCTAGTTGTACTTATAGAAACTTATTGGCCGATACTTCCGGTAGCCAATAGCATATAAGGGAACGCACATTTTGATTCTTGTCATTCGCCTATTGGGTCTGATGATGATTGGAGTGTCCAATCGAAATCGATCACCACTTACCAACATTTACATGTATTTACCGTCTTGTAAGTCAACAGTATAAGTGTAAAAAACAATAGAATCCAGAGACAAAAATTCCACTTAAAACAGTTGCTAGAAAAAACCCTATTTTAATGATTAACAGCATAATTTTATTAATGATAGGACCAAGTACAGGTTCTTTGCTGATAAAGATTAATGTAGAGTGAATGTAAAGAAATACTACGGGTTTTCTTAATGGGTGTAACCAAGTATAGTAATAAGACTTGAACCAAACAAGTAAATAGGTGAGATTTTATTTTATTCATTGATGTATATGATCCAAGAATACAACGATAAGTTAACGTTTAAGATTAGCATCAAATGTGTTATGTACTAAAACATATTTGGAAGACGTTAATTCATGTAATCAAACATGTTTCAATAACTTAAATTGCCATAATGTTTGATTAACCTAACAAAGGTCAGCCTAAACGGACAGATTGTGTAGTAGTTTCCTTTCTAATGGAAATAAAAACCTATATAAAATACCTAATTAAAATACCTACGTAAAACATCTACGTATATTACCTACGTAAAATATCTACGTAAATACCTAAGTAAAATACCTAATTAACATACCTTCGTAAAATACCTAGTAATTTACCTA